AAGGCACAATGTGGGGGCTGTGCCACATGGACAAGTGGTGAGGATGATCACGGAGTCTGCCGCAAATTAAAGGGTTCATGCAGCAAGAAATGTTCACAATCACTCACTTGGTAAACACGCAGTCGAGTAGCAAGAGCTTGCACACCTAAATAGTCAGAGTAACCTTGCTCCAAAGCCATCACGCCCTTTATATCCTCACGTATACCATTCATCACTGGAAGGTCTCGGGCGTGATCTGTAAGAGCTGTTCCACTCATTCCTGGAGTGTACAAATTGCCCATTATGACCGACAACCTTTGATTGGTTAGCATTGTTCCTGGATGAATACATTTGAGAATTCCAGAGGGACAGGCAGATTGGGTAAGAACACAAGTTGTAAGTTAAATAACCTAGTGAAGAACAAGTCTTCTTCTTGCAGATGTGCACTTATGAACATACCTTCATCTGTTGAGTCAATTGCGGGAAATAGTACCATTTCTTCCATTTGTGCATGCTCTTGCATCAAGACAACTAAACGTCCATACATCTTCCAAAGCAGCTGCATCTGTTTTCCTGCCGTTGCTCCCCGCCTTCCAAACTCCCTAACTTCCACCGTAGGTTTATTTTCAGGTAGCGTGTCAGCCAGAACTACAAGCTTCTTGAAGTGCCACATAATGCTTCGGTGTTGCAGCACGGTCATCACTATCAAGGGTGATGAAGCTCTCTCAACCATGAATTTGGGCTACAGCTCCTTTAAGTGAGTCCAGATCCAACCTCACTGGAGCATAATTGGAAAACGAATGCATAGCTTGACTATAACTAAGTAGATGGGAATGGACTGTCCCAATTGTTATACCACGGAAGAATTTGGCGACATCTACTAAAAGAAGAGAAGGAATAAGATACACATCCACAAGAGTAAACTGGTTCCCCAAAAAGTATCGGCCATGTTTTCCGTGTTCGCATTTACCATTGTTCAATTCAGCGAAGGCAGACTCGAGGTTTAGCGTCATTTTATGTTGTTCCAAGTGACTTCCATCATAGATCAACTGAACCAAAATAGGAGTAAATTCATCTCGAATGAAAGCTACCCATTTCATAACCTCATCTCGAATAAATCTGGGGATCAAAGGAGGATCTTGGAACGTCTCTTCGATGTAATCCAGCATAGTGCCAGTTGAGCCGATGAGTCTGTGGAGGCCATACTGCAACACTGGGTATTTGCCATTGGGGCTTCCTATGATTATTCGATTCGGGTTCTTCAAATCCGCAGGTGTTAGCCAGGTTGGGTTCACAAGGATGCCCTGTAAGACAATACAATCTGTCAACGCAATATGCAGGTATTTGGGTCGATTCTTAAGATTAGCTCAAACTCCTGGGCTACCATGAATTATATTGATGATTGCAAGAACGTGCAGGTTTTCTGAAATAGTTCACAAACAACTACAACCTCAGACACCTCCTTTTCTTTGTGGTCTTTGGAAGAACAACAAAAATAGAAATAAAAATAACAAAAATCAGAGATAGATAGAGTTGAAATACGAAGGGTTAGAAACCATCTGAAAAACTGGACACATGTCCTCACTCAACAGAACCCATACAGCCCTCTCATGCTTACGCTAATCGACAGAATAAGCTGCCACAAAGACGGAAGCACTTCACCTTGAATTGTAACGCAATCAGCACCCTCAGAGTGAAGGGACACAATAGGTCTCCAATCAGCTCTACTCCAGGAATATTTCTCTTGGCCTCTGCGCGGTTTGCTTCACAAGAGATAGTTTCATGAGTACTTGATTCATAGTCAGTTGTAGAGGACGACGTTGGCACGACAGTAGATGATTTTGAACTCACAAGTTCATCCTTGTGTTTTGAGGGTGCCAACTTTGGCCAACAAATTCCCATCTTGAGTAGGGATGTAAGGCAGCTTCTGACTTTTAACCAAGCTCCGATGTGATACCCTCCTAAAACCATCAACTTCCATGGCTTTGCATCACAGGAGGGTAAGCTCGATGCAGCAAATTTTCATAATCTTTTCGGGTGATGATCCTAGAGCAATAGGACAGTTGCTACGTTAAAATTTTCTTATTCTGGTTGAATAATGATTTCGATAACAGATCTTATTCTGTCAATCAGACCGAGGAAATTCTGAACAGTGAAAGTTATGATGCCAAAGGGAAAACAATGCGATGTCCTAGATCGGCACGGAACTACACTCTGCTTCGCAATCGGAGATACCTCAGCACTTCTTCGGTAGGGGAAATCTATTCGATGTTCTCAGTGATGTAGAAACAAGGATGACACCCCAAGATTATCACAGTACATTAGACAAGTATTGGTAAGGAGAGAGCTCCTGGACTTCACGGTTCCCAATATCAGAAAGATCAATCGGATTTTTACCATGTGCCTTTTTACCTTGTATTTATAACATTCAGTATCTAGTTTTCTTAACGTTTGAAAAACGGAAGTATATCCGCAGCGACCTGATTCCAAGCAGAGACACCCATGTCACGTCGATAGCAATCCTCGATAGCAATCCTCGATAGAAATTTGGGAAGATCTTCAACAATAGATGGGTAAGGCCATCAACCCTGACACCCCCATGACCACCTCGTCTTCGCTTCTAAACTCTATCCATGTGTATTTATTCATGGAAAATGTCACAGACAAAACCATACTGTGGCTCGTACATGCTTTTGGCGCCGCTAGCAGTAAATTTGCTGAACCATGTTGCAGACAAGGAAAAAAACTTTAGAGGAGGTGCGAAGTCGAAACTAGTTTAAACAAAGACACGCAATATTAAGAGATCTGCTTCAGCTTGAGATTCGCAACATCAGGATTGAAGCACTTACAGCAGTACAAAGAATGACTGCAATGCTCAACGAGCAGTATTTCTACATATCGACTGAAGAAAGAGAAGACTCGTAAGTACACTTCTTAAAAATCGTAAGGGTTCTGAAGCCATTGTCGTCTTACAAGAAACAATTGTTATTCATGAAATGCTGAGTCCATTGTTCACTTCCCCCTTAACAGCATTAAAATTCTCTACGCCCCATTTTTCACAACCTCAGTTTCTCTTCTACTTCCTCCTCATGTGTTGTTATAATCGCGTTCTGTAGTCACGCATTCATGCAAACAATAAACAAAGAAACCCCTTAGATCACCAATTACCACATTATGTTGTGAATTGGTGCTAAATTTTAATCCGTAACAGTGATCTATTTCTGCCATTAAGCCCGGTGTGGGACGAAGAGGATGGTAATGTCCAAACATATATGAGCTGCATAGTACAGGACGACTACACAAAAAGAATGAAAACCTGCAGCTTCCATCAACTGATCAACAAGGTCGAGGCTCTGTCTCTTTAATAATCGAGGCGGGAACAGGTCCAAACAAGCTAATTCCAATGGCACACATCTTCAGCAAAGCCGATAATAGCACGATCATGAAAAAGAGGCACAGTAATTGGAAATTGGAAAGTTGCTGCAGCTTCTCCAGTGTTCATTGCGCTCCATGAAATTTCGCAATCGAATGAGCACACTCCCATCAATCCATGGTGCTCATTTCTGAAGCTTGTCTGCCTGCTGCAGATTGAAAACCTTTATTGGCAAATGCAAGTCACGTGGCACATTTTCAAAGAAATTCTCGTTGAATGATGAGATTCTGGCACAGCATCACCTGCACCATGATATTGATTCTGTATGGGTCCCTCAATATTGGGTATTAGGCAAGAGTTTTGTCGTGCAAGAGTTGAGGCATAACCGTCTTGAGTAATGATAAGCGGGGCAGACTTTGTGCATTCTACGTTAGAGTCACCCATCATCAAATTTTGACGCTTCACACAAGATCAGGCACACCAAAGTGATCACTCCTATCATAAAGTTGTCTAGTTCTCTTGCGATTGAATTGACGATGCTGTTGCAAAGACATTTTTATCACCCTTAATGGAAAGTTGCCGTTTTCTCACACATGGGTTTGAGCTCTGATTAGGTGAGGAAGTTGTAGGTGCAGATTCAGCTTGCAGACCAGGTCCCATGGATGGCCTAGTTCAACCAAACAGATAATATACGCTCGGAACTCAATAAATGCTTGTGCTCTGGAATCGAGAAATGCGGTTGGGGGAAAATGGGTTCCTGCAGGATCTAGTGCATTCCTTTGGTACAAATGCAAAGCGAAGATGTTTGTCTGGGTAAATGAGTGCACAAGCCAGACAAAAACAATTAGTGAGGAAGGACAATCCCTTGCACTGCCCAGGGGCCTCCCACCTATTAATTGCAAACATCTCTTTCAAACACGATTGCAGCATGGCCCTTCCACCTTGTCTCAATGACGCATCCCTGGTCCCATGATAAGTAACAAATCCAACCTTGCCGAAGTTTTGTTTGCCAACACCGAATGTTAAGCTGGATAAGGTTCTAGCGGTTTTCTCCTGACGTGAGAATGTCCACTTCATTCTCTTCTTAGAACACTTCTACTATTACGATGTTTAGATCAATTTCTCCCTAATTTTGACATTAATTTTCCCGTCATTTCATACCAGCTATTTCTCCCTCATTTTATTTTTATTTTTTTGATTTATTATATACATATTTTTGTTTTTGATTTATTTTTTTTTATCTGTGATGGGTATTAGATGCAGACAATGCTACACATTACATGTGCGATGACAATTGTAAATGTCGTCTTGCATTTGATGTTCCTGGATAAGGGAGGGTGAAGGAGCTAATTACAGTACTTTACTGATGTTTCTCGATAAGCAACTAAGATCTACCATCTGAAACCCTAGGAGTGAGGATCATGAAGAGTAACAGTTGCCAGTGAGGTGAAGAAGTGCAGAGCCTCCACCTAAGCACAGATTCACATGCTTGCAACTGGATGCAGACTGTCCTTCCAAGCCAAAAAGAAAGCCTTACAACAACCTGCAGGTAGAATCTAAGTATCTACAGAACCTAAATTGAAGGCAAGGAACACCTCAACAAACGAATGAAAGCGTGAACTCAGCATCTCACCAACACCGAATGCCATTTATCAGACATCACAAGATTCTTTTACCAACAATGAGCCGAGCAACTGGGCAAGTACACTATATACTGATATAGATGACGCTTTGAGAGCCAACTAATAATTTACTGATGAAGTGTTCAAGAATACCTTTACCTGGATCTATTAGTACACTAGAGGTGACGAAGAGGTTTTCAATCAAAATCCCTCACAGAATACTCCACAGAAAAATAGTGGAGTAGTAAAGACACAACACCCAATTTTGGGAAGAAAGGGGAAGAGAGGAGGGGGAGGGAAAAAGGAATATCAGTCTAAAAGCATCGACTACCACCCAGCTGAAAATCAAAACTGTGCCGAGGTAGGAGGAGCCCGTATTTTTCAGATCGTACAATCGGTTGATATCCATCAAAATCTTGAAAAACCCAACTTTACATAGTACAAAGGCAAGTGGTATGAGGCTCATTCCTGGAGGAGGCAGTATGAACCGGCAGCCTTGTCGATGGAGGGGGTAGCAAGCTCGCTAATTATTCCTTGTGCTGCCATGCACACTTCCTTGAACTCATCGTCAGCGTTCTTCAAACAGAAGGATATTCTTGTGAACACTCGACTCTTGCCTCCATCACATGAGCTATGGAGGAGCCCAATGTATTGGCTGATCTCATGGGGCTCCAACCCTTGCAGAAAGAAAGGCAGTAATCTCCCGTGAGTCTCTTCCATCACTGCAATACTTTGAGAGACTAGCTCCTCCTGCTTCTTGTTGCCCAGTCCAGCTGCATTTAGCTGGGGCAAGAGATCCCTCTCTTCTTCATGATAGTGTTCCACGCTGTTTTCCTGAAGAGGCCAAGTTAAAGGTAAAACCAAACTCACGTCAGATAGGACTCGAACAAATCTACTGATAAGATATATCAGTGATTGGGCATGAAACACGCAAGAGAGAAATCATGGAAAATTGTGGCTTCTGGTAAGGGCAGGACGACACTGCAAGAGACTTAGGAGTTAGCGGGGGAACTGATTATATTCATGTGAAGAGATGCTTACTTGGAGAGCGTGCAGCCGCTTTACCACAGCTTGCAGGCCTTCCAAGTGATCAGAGCAACCTTGCTCCAAAGCCATCACTCCCTTTATATCTTCACGGATACCATTCATCACGGGGAGGTCCCGAGCATGATCTGCAAGCGCGCATTCGCTCATACCTGGGAGTTCAAAATCCTCAACTCAAATTCAGCCTTTTAAGCACAATGTCCTGAAGAAGCTTCAAGACAAAAAAGAAAGGCTACACTGCCAGGACGGCACCAATATTACACGAAGAAACTCCAACTCTAGCGAGGAGAGTAATCCAGAGGACTTCAGAATTCGCACCTTCTTCAGTGGATTCTATTGCAGGGAAAATGACCCTCTCCTCCATCTGGGCATGCTCTTGCATGAGGTCCAATAAACGTCCATACATCTTCCAAAGCAGCTGCATCTGCTTCCCTGCCACTCCGCGTCTCCCAGAATCCTCATTCGCAAGCTTGTCTACAGGCAGACCATCAGCCAGGGCTACAAGTCTCTCCAAGTGCGACAAAATGCTCTTGTGCTGTAATACAGTCATCACAATGAGGGGTGATGGTGCCCTCTCCACCAGAGTCTTTGCCACAGCTCCTTTTAGTAGTTCGGTATTCATTCGGACAGGAGAATAGTTGGGAAACGAATGCATGGCTCGACTGTAAGCCAGCAGATGAGAGTGCAAGGTCGAGATTTCAATACCGCGGAAAAATTTGGCTACGTCGACTAGAAGAAGGATTGGGATAAGATAGACATCTACAAAGGTGAACTGGTTACCAAAAAAGAATCGGCCCTGCTTTCCATGCTCCCATATAGCGCTATCTAATTTCATAAAGCAAGACTCTAGCTTTGGTTCTAATTCTTGCTGCACAAGAGGACTCCCATCGTACAAAAGCTGCCCCACGATAGGGGTCAGTTCATCCCGAATAAATGCTACCCACTGCATCACTTCCGCCTCCACAGGCTTAGGTATCAAAGTAGGGACTTCGAAGGTTTCCTCAATGTAATCCAGCATGGCATCTGTTGAGCCACTGAGTTTGTGGAGCTCATAGTGTAAAACAGGATACTTACCAGTGGGACTAGCATTTACTAACTTGGGGTTGGTTAAGTCTGCAGGAGTCAGCCAGGTTGGATCCACGACGACGCCCTTTGAAATGTAAGGCACAGAAAATCACCAAGTTATAAAGGACTCACGAAATAAGTTTTAAAAAAATTGTTACAACTAAGAGTATTAATTTAAAGTAAGAACTTCTTAAAAAAGTTAGGACGGAGGTGTCTAACCTTAAATTGCAGCGCAATTTGCACACGCAGTGTAAAAGGACACAACATGTCTCCTATCAACTGCACCCTTGGAAGATTACTTTCAGCTTCTGAGTATGACTGCTCATCAGTGGGAATACTAGGAGCAGTGGAAGGCTCGGGGGTTGATTCGCAATAAATAGGAGAGGATGACGTCGGTACAACAGCTGAAGGTTTGGGATTCAACGGTTCATCTTTATATTTTGAATGCGCAGCTTTCGGGAAACATATCCCCATCTTGAATGAGCTTACGAGGCAGCTCCAAAGAGAGATCCTAATACTTGACTCAACTTGCTACCAATCACGTCAGCAACTTCTTGAGACCTGCTTGACGGGAATCACGGAATGAGTAAAAACATGTCCGCACCTGACCACATGACCAGCCTGGCCATCATCAAATTCTCTCATATTTGCAACATTTGATGCTGTACTTGTTAGCTAGGAAAAACGCGTGCTTGTAACTTTGAATTTGAATCTGGGCCGATACCAAGCAGTGGATGTGGAGATAAATGACAATGGAGAGTAGATTTTTGAGATAGACACTTCACCTGTAGCACGATCCACCACATTTTTCCTCCAAATGTGTATGTCTTTCACGGTTGTACAACTTCGAATCATAAGTGAGGAAGTTCCAAACCTTGAACTCCCCCGCTGCAATATCTAAAAAGGGATCAGTTGAAGTGCAAACAAGCGTGTCTTCGCAAGTGAGAGAAACACTACCACATCCACAATTTTCACATATCTCCGTTCCCTTCCTACATATACGCTGCAGTTTGAAGACAAGTACGACAGATTTGCAAACATGATAAAATTGAAACCGTTAGACAACATTTTCTAGACCAAAATTCCACAAACTAAGAAGCGAGGGCTTCGTTTGATAGTTCATATCTTTAACATCGCGTTGTTTTTGGATGTGTTCATCCCGTACCCTAGCGCTATGGAACAACCTCGGCCTCACAGACACAGTAATCAGTGCATACTAGCCGTTAAACGCAAAATGCGGAATGCCCTCAGCATGGACAGAGTAGTACTGAAACCACGCATTTTTTCTTGAAACATTTCAAACCTTCGCAGTAAATAATCGCTCTACATCATCAGACTTTGCAACAAAAACAGAGTGAGTTACTAATAAGATCCGCATCATAAGGAAAGTATTCCCTAAGAGCTTTCGTTTGAAGATATTGTGCTCGGACACGCATCTGGATTAATGTATTCAGGTGCACATTGCAAAGCAACAATGCCCAAACCTGAAGCAGTGAAAAACTCTTCGATCCAAAAATTTCTCCAAACAGGGCTTCACTTGCGGAAGAAATCAACCGACGCTTCTTTTCTTGCTCCTGTGAACACGCCAATTCAAACACAACAATTGTGGCTGCTACATTCGCACTCCCTACGAAATTCACTGTTTCTACAGACCATCACTGCGCTACCTTCTGCTGCGGATCTACAATGCCACCGTGCTTCAAACCCTCCCAATGAAATTCTCCGTGCGGGTTCCTTCGCAAATTCTTTCTGACCTTCAAAAATCCATCAACTCGCGATGGTGTACATCATCGCCAACCCATGACCACAACACCAACACCTTCCACCAAATGGCTGCGAAAGAACAGGGGAAAGTCCTTGGTGATGATGAGAAACAGATCTCGCACACAAAGCTCCACCCAATCAAACAGTCACCACCGCCACTCCACAAACACCAAAAACCTCGACGCAGTACCAGATTCAGACCCGCCAACAAAATGACGGAAAATGGCGGAAGCTCTAGCAACAAAACCTCTACAGGAACAGCTCCCTCACACACACAACCTGGGCTGCAACCACGACAGTGTGAAAACGGCAAAAACAGCCGTTATCAGCTGCCACCCACAGCTGATAGATTCAAAAGATGGGGAAAAGGCGACAGAATCAGATCCCGTAAGACGAGAGCAGACGAGACAAAACAGCAAACTCAATGCAGAGTCCAGGCAGGGGATCAGGTTCGGACGCTGGGCATGAGGTGATGTGGAGAACTGAGCGAGATTGAAGCACCAGAGGCGTTGAACCCCCGGACGAAGCGGAGGCAGAAGTGGGGGGCAAACAGATCAAAAGCGGAATGAAAGCGGCAACGTTTCTTCACTTCCTTCTGCCCAAAGCTAGACGAAGGTTTTGGGCTTTGCTCGCTGCTGCTGCTCTCTCCCTCTCTCCCTCTCTGCATCCAAAAACCCACACACTCCACCGCACCTCGCAACGCTCCCCCACTGCCACCACCCACCTTCAAAACTTCAAACCTGCGGAGCAACCTCCAAGGAACAGTAGCAGCAACATCCCATATTTTTGAATTCCGTCCTCACTGCATCCTCATCATCGTCATCACACACCAAGTCTAAAGGTCTGCTTTTAGCTTGATGTTTTTGTTGTTGTTGTTCAAGGGTGTTGTTGCTTGATCTGCGCTGAGCGTGAGCACCAGTGTATTTGCCTCTTCTAGACAACAGGGAGTTGATCACTCTGCATTGACATTGCCATTAATTCATGCCTGCCTGACATGATTCTCCCTGTATCTTCCATTTGAAAATTTGCCCCCCATATCCACGTTGCTTTTCTGGTCCTCTCCTCACTGGTTTAGCTCCTAGTGGTGGTGGTGGTTTTTTTTTTTTGCCTCCGAAGTCATTTATGTGGTTTCCAAGTTTGCTCATAGTTGATATTTACCATATCAGTCAGAAACAGGACGAGGTCTCTGTTGTCAAAATCATTGAGACATTGCCATTCCTCCTTGTTTTGATTTTCGATTTGATTTGATTTGATTTTTTTCCACTTTTTGTGGTACTCACTCAATATCGAATTGCTCTGAGTCATGGTAGTAGTTATGACCTAGTTATTGACATTGATGATGATTGGACCATAGATTGCCTACAAAATAGGATAAATAAGAGATATATATATATATATATATATACACAAATATGACTAAACATGTATGTGTATGAAAGAGTGGGAGAGAGTTTTGTTAGTCCCACGGTTAATTAGTAATAGCACTAAAATCCAAATAGCTTGTAGTAGTTGTCCATGTTCATTTAACTTATAGTAGTATTGGTAAAGAGAGATAGCATAGTGAATTAAGAATTCTATATAACATGTACCTTCCTAAATTTGAGCGATGATTATTATTATGATTTCCCCAAAAAGAAGAATAGAGTGTGAGTCTTAATATTTCTTTAATCACTATTACAAATCAATTTTGAGAATTTATTTTTAATCAAACTTTCTAAAAGAATCTCCAAGTTTTAATAATTTCCATTATCAATAAGCATTAGCAACCATAGACAAGGATAACTAGTTTGAAAATATGCTGACATATGTGTGTTAACTACTTTTGGATCTTTATTTATTTTACTTTTTGAATATTTTATTACATAGAATTTTATTTTATTTTATTTTTTGACACAAATAGAGGACTTTTTCTATTATAGAGTAGTAAGTTACATGCCTTTGGCTAAGTCTGGCTAAGATGTTAGTTTATAATAAAAATAAAAATAAACAATTATTTACTTCCACCTTCTTTACTATGATACCTTCTATAGTAGCTTGTTTATTGTCCAACTAGCCAATACTTGATTCATGCACCATAATTGACAAAACTACTGAACAAGTTTGGCTTTAAGGAGTAGTCTATTTTTCATATTTTCTTACATCTTGTTCCAACCATTCCTTCCATAATCTATCAATTGTAGCCAAATTTGATGACAAACTTGCTCACTTGTCCAAAAGACTCCATTAAATGTTGCATCATTTCATTTGATCTAGATGATCCATATCACGATTCCACGTAGTAATAATCATATTTGACTTACCTTTTTAAAGCATCTAAAAATCCAATATGCAATAATACAATGTATCCACAATGGTAAAAATTGAAGGTGCCATATCCCATGTGTATTATTTCTTATATTAATACCTTTTCCTTTTCGTTCATTGATATTAAGGCCCAACATGCTTGTATTTTTATTAATATTGTCTCTTCATTCAAAGATCATTATAGGCATTGTCATTAGAATAAGAAGTTGGAGAAGGTGGATCCTCCACCTTCATGTTCTAGATGCAAAATTACACTCCCAAAGACGATGCAACATTGTCTCTTCTAAACCATTCATACATACAAGATAATATTGTTCTATATCTTCTTTCTTTGTTTTCAAAATATTTGCCTATCTTGGCTTAAAAATTTGTGGTAAAATCCCACCCTACTTTTGTTTAATAACGTCAGGTAGTACATGTCTCTTCTTAAAAAGAATACAATCCAAGAAAGTGGTGTATTGTATAAATGATATATAGCCTGGCTACTTATATCATCCAAGATTCCATATCAATTTGTTTGTTTCTTCTTAAAAGAAGAAGATTAATTATTTTTTTTGTTGTTTTAGAATTGGAGTAATTTTGACCTCTTGAAACAACCATCGAAATATATGTATCCATCTCTTCTTTCTCTAGCCTTATGATGCAAAGTTACCTTCTAGTCTTATTTCACTTCAAGTAGTGTAAGCTTGTTTTTCCTTGATCTATAAATACATGTATATGTAGAGATTCAAAATTTTTATTCCATTATGGTTGGTTGGTAATTCCTTATAATTTGCCATACTATTAAGGTGGTTGGAGAGGCTTTATGTATAAAGAAACTTACTTTCTCTCCTTCCTTCAGTCTTTGGATTAACCAAAAGAGTATTTGAGTCCTTTATTGAACTATCCTATTAATCAGATTTTTCTATATCCCTTCTTCTTCTTGATAGATTCCAAACCAATTTTTTCCTTCATCAAAAGTAAAAAATTTATTTTTTCTCAATATATCCTTGATTTTTTTAAGCTCTTATTTATGAAATACTATTATTCTTTTCTTTGAAATATTGTTCAATACTGGATTGTGCCTTATATTATAGTTCACTCATTCTTCTTGACATATAGGAGGAAAATACATCACTTTAGAAAGAAGATCTTTCCAAGCCAATCTAATCTTATTCTATGCTTTTGAACCTTTTGTGCTTTGATGCTTCTTAAGAGTGAAAAATTTAAGATTAGGTTGCTATTTCTCTTTGGCATATGGTTGGAACTTACTAAGATAATTTTTCTAACATCAAATGTAAGTTAGATTTCAATAGTTCCATAGCTTTCTCAATCTATTTTCCTAATAATCTTGTGACTGCATCTATCATATTAATGAGATTAATCTTTCTTTTATGAAATAGTTGATAACATAATAATTATAATACTTTAATTTGAGTTCAATATATATTTCTTCTTACAAGATAATTCCTAAGCAAAGCCTTAATATTTAGTATTTTTTTTTATTCTTCCTGATAAAGAATGAAATAGAATATGATTGACAATGATACATTATTAAAATTACTCCTCTTCATGTTGTATTTATTATTGTAGAATACTAATGGCTAAGTTTTTTATTTATTTTTTCTTGTAAGAAAGAATGAAAGTTCTTTAAAGTTAAAGATAGTCCAAATGGTGCTTCCAATAATTTGCTTACATCATTTCTATCTATCCATGTGATACCTAGCTCATTAATTTAACTTCATCTTTTAAGTAAAAATTTACTTTTTCAATGACTACTAAATTTAGTCTAATTTATGATAGATTTTGATTCTATACAAAATATTTTAAGTGCATAAATAATTTTTCTCCTATTACATTCTTTACTTCTTAGAATTAAAAAAAGTATTGTCAACATATTAAACTATGATTTGTTGTTTTTAGCCTATAAATAATTAGATATCTTTTATTAATTTAAACTTAGCTTCATTTACTATCATTGTATTAAAGACTTTTGTTGCTATAAGGAATAAATAAGGAGCAATTGGATATCCTTGCATCACCTGTTTTTTAATCCTAAAAGGCTTAGTGAATGTCCTATTGAACTTCACAATTGCCTTTGCATTGTTAAATAATAATTTGACCATATAATGAAAATTCCTTGGTAGTCCAAGTTTTTCTATTGCAAGAAAAAGAAATTTCCAATCAATTATGTCATTTGCTTTAAAAAAGTCTAGTTTTAAAAAGATAAGTAGTTACTTTGATTTTTTAGCCCATGCCATGGTTTCATGTATCAAAAGTAAATTATCTAAGATAAAATAATTAGATAAAAAGATAGATTGATCCATACCAATAATATTCATTAAAATTGGTTGAAGTCTCATTTGTATAATTTTTGCATATATTTTATATCCAATATTGAGAAGTATAATAGTCCTCCAATTTGTAAGCTCTTATCTTAATCTACCATTATGTAATAAGAAAATTAGTCCTTGTATAACATCTAGTAGAATTTTTTTAATGTAAATGCTTTTTTAGACCATATATAAAAAATCTAGTGCCATAATATTCTAAAAAATTGTATGAAAATCAAAAATGATACCATCTAGCCTAAGAAACTTATCTTCTCTCATTTCTTTTAAGATTTCTAAAATTTTTGTGAAAAAAAGATAGTCACTTAAATTATTATTATTATTATTATTATTTTTTTTTTTTAGAATTAATTGATTATTAGTTTCAATTAAAGCTTGCTGAATTGCACCATGTATCATATTGGATGTAAGGCATGCCTTATATAATGAATTATAAAATTAATGGCATATAGATGCCATCACCTTTGATTGACATTGTAGCTTCTCGATACTATTTTTCAGCTTGTTTATTTGGAATGCCTCGTTTCTTTTTCTATGGATCCAAAAAAATATTTTGAATATTTATTAGCTACTTGTTGCTATTTCAACCTTTCATGCAACTCTTACCTAATTACATTTTTTTTTCAAAATGCCAAAAAAAATCAACTAAGTTAGCTAACTGATCTCGTTGCGTAATTTTTTCAAGATTTTTTATAGCTCTGAGATAGCTTTGGCTAAATGATGTCTCAATTGGTCTTTTTTATGTTTTATTTTTGTAGCTTTATTGATACAAAATATTTTATAGAATTGTACTTAGCTTCTTAACTTGCTAAAAGAAAAGAAGTGCTAGATAATGCTCCAAATTCTTTGAATTTATCTTTGAACCTCCTTGTTGTTGAGGTATTAGAAGTTTATTACATATCTTGGCCTTTTTTTCTCTTTCAATTGCATTCTTATGTGATAGAGCATTGTTAGGTGGTTTGAGTGTATAACATCACCTATGATTATATAATCGAAAATTAATGTACTAGCCCTAAGATTGTTAAATAAATAT